CGTTTGGTGATTATCTGACATGAGGGATCCTTTACCTACACTACATCAGATGCCTTCATTTCAAAATGAAAACACCATACTATAAATAAGTAAGGAGTAACCAAAAAAGAAAGATGAGTTTATTCTTGAAAAAGCGCAGCTTTGTCCATCTCGGCAAGGTGAGTAAGGCAACATGCAAGCTCATCCGGTACTGTTTTATGCGAATATCATGATACTTTGAGGTTTGCTGCAAACAATCTGAATACGGCTATCCTAATCCCACGTTCTGGAACGTAGAAGTAGGGACATTCATAGCTACCGCGTAAACAACACCGATTTCTTTTCGCATCCAAATCTACATGATGGAACGCTAATTCTACACACATTATCCAAGTCAGTCTTCAGACAAGGCAAGTCCGGCTGCCATAAGGTCCAACAAGCGCTTTCAAACCATAAAGTTTGCTGAATATGAACCGACACTGTCCCGTAAGGTAGATATGTGTCTAATGGTAGCATGCAGTGACTTCATGAGGTTTCGATGCTTAATCTTGGAAGAACTTTGCCATATTTACTACTATTATCTATGTATCGTTACATCTATATCGTGTATCGTCATATCTATTACTGATAGAGGGACTGTAGATCCGCCCTTAGCTGGAGATCTCTCGATTGGAGCACGGATCTTGTTTGGAGCGCCATCTCTTACCGCTCGTTTTTAACAGCATCTTGACATGCAGGATTTGTTTCCAGTTCTTTGTAACTTTCATTTGCTGTCCCTCACTACTGGAGTGATGTTTTGTATCCTAAGCACTTCATTAGGTACGCTCCAGAATGCTGTAGGCTATGAACAGTGGAAACACAGTCTACCTAGTTCAAACAAAAATTCAATATCACGAATTTTGCTGGAAGTTCTTTTTCGGGGCTTATTTGACCTGCAGATTAGGAAACGATATTCATTTCGCATGGTATGGCCTTTGCCGTGTAGGTCAGGATCTCAGATCTCGCTGGAATTTTGCACGGGGGTTATTCGGCATACTTTCACGAATACCATGTGCATTCTTTAAGATAGGTCGCTCTAACTTTGCCCAAAGAGTTATGCGGATCACGGGTAAAAAGTTCGGTCGTCATGGTAGCGCCTCAAGTTATAGTGGGGATGCGACTTGGGGACGTAGTAGCAGATTTGTGTGGAAATTCGCCTAGAGCGACTAGACGCGACCTTGAGATTTGAAGAAAGAGTTGCCTTTTTGCTCTTGAAGACCCTTTAGCAAAGTTACAGTAAATATGCGGCAGCCGGTTGAATCGCATGGAACTTTGTGAAGGGGGGGGGGGGTTGTCGGACCTTTCGATCACGTATATTGCGCTCCTCGTATAATACGGCTTTGTGGATTTTTGGGATCTAAATTGGTTTATTAAGGGAAGGATACTTGATCGAAATGGCGTCTATATAAAATGTACACTACCTTGTAAAGCATGCAATGCTGATTCCAAATCTGCTTTCCTTATCTGCAAAGCGCTTCGGGGAGGAGAGTTATGAAAAGTTTCGATACAAAAATCCGAAAGCGAGGCTACAAGCATTCAAACTTTTATCCGTGAGCTCAGATGGGGCCATGATTACTACAGGGGCTTATATGCAATAAATACCTCCAATCTAACAAACCCATGTCAGTCATTACTCTTTTTAAGTGCCGAAACTAACTCAAGCCTGTTTTTTACCTTAGACAAAACATTAAATTTTTACTTCGAAAATTTTTTAGCACTCCCCTCCCAAAAGCGCTTTGCAGGTAAGGAAAGCAGATTCGTAATCAGTTTAATGCTCTATAAGATAGTATACATTTATAAAAACGCCACTTCGACCAAGTACCCTTACCTTGTATGAACCAAATAAGGGTCTACCTATGTATGCTCTATCATAACCACATTGCAGCCAAGTGCGTAACTGCCCCTCACCGCACCTCCACACCGTAACTTCGCCAGGCTTGCTGTGCGAAAAGTGTACGATTTTGCGATCATTATGTCGAATGCCCTCTGGACGAAGTTCCAGCAAAATCTAGGATTTCGAACTTATGCCTATACACGCGGTAATAAGGTGCTAGCGTGACGGATGAATATGTTATTTGTGGGAAGCATGCTAGACAACCTCCCCCCCCCCCCCCCACACACACAAGGTTCCAGTGAATTCGGAGATTTTCATTAGGGGTCGGCTGGGATAGTAGTAAAAAAATCTATCATGCGAAATGAACGCAATTTATGTGATTAGCACGTCAGATACCTTTCATGCCCAGAGTTCCAGGCAGATCTTCGCTTTCTGCTCGTAAACCCAGTGTAACTCCGCGAGAAGGTATCAAAACTTAGTGAAGTAGGGTATCCGTAATCACGTATTGGAGAAATTCCTTGACAAAGTTTTGGGCAAATTTGTAACGTTTTTCGTATTGGATTGCTGGAAGTGGACTGATCAAATCGCATGTGTACTGGGGAAAGCTCGTATCACAAAATGTCGGATATTCTTTCCAGCGGTGCTGTACTGCTGATTTTCCCATCGCTAGCTCGGGCACAAGCGTATTCAAGGCATACAAATGCTACGTAACGAACATGCTGAATCAAATTTCAACGATCTTCACGACTTTCAGCCGAACAAGGCCGTTCGATGACGCCATTCTGAAGAGTAGTTAGTTCTGCGTTCAGAACGGCTTCGCTTCCAAGGCGGAACAATTAAAGTGTAACGTTGCCGCATTTGCCAACACCCGTTTAGTCAAAAAAAGATGTGTTTTAGAGTTTGTATCCAAAAGCGCTCTTTGGCACCACATCCTGAGTATGTGCTAGGAAGTGCAAATGGAAGTCCTAGAGAGCTTAAACAAAATATGCTTGGCAAAATCTCTGGAAAAGACAAGGAGTAGCTATGGCGCTCCAAACAGAATCCGTGCTCCAGTCGAGGGATCCCCAGCTAAGGGCGGATCTACAGTCCCTCTTACTGATACAATGAGATTTGTAAGCAGTTATTGGAGCTGTGGCCCTAAAGAGGGCCGTTGATTCAGATTAGTTTATTTGCTTATTTGTCGATGTTCTTGATGCACGTTCTCCGCGTCTTCTCCAGTCCGCATGATGGTGACAGCTTTGCATGGATGGCGCACAGATTCGTGTCTTCAAAAACTCCCACAGTAAGCCTCGGACGCTTTTGGAGGGCCATCACCGCCGAAGACTGCAAGCGAAGATCGGTCTTAGGGTTGTTTCAGACTGCCGCACTGACTGCAGCAGACTGCAGCAGACTGCAGCAGACTGCAGCTGACTGCACTGACTGCAGCAGACTGCACTGACTGCAGCAGACTGCAGCAGACTGCAGCTGACTGCAGCTGACCGCACTAACCACACTGACCGCAGCCTCTTTTCTTAAAAATAAAAACAACCGCGATTATCAAAACAGCATGATTTGCGCATAAGAAGATCATAAGTTCCATCAGAATTCTCCCAATCAAATTTTGGCGATAGTTTTCTTTGATATGTTCGTATTTGTTCCAATTCTTCCTATCATTGCATATACCTGTTTTGCGACAATCTAAACCTTGTTGTCTCTTGCTTTTACGTATATATTGTTGTTGTTTGTTCAAACCACAACTATTTATCCTCTCCGCCTGCAGGCTTCAGCCGCTGCGGTCGTTGCGGTCAGTGCGGTCAGCTGCAGTCTGCTGCAGTCTGCTGCAGCCAGTGCAGTCAGCTGCAGTCTGCTGCAGTCAGTGCAGACTGCTGCAGTCAGTGCAGACTGCTGCAGTCAGTGCGGCAGTATGAAACAACCCTTAAAATCCTGCGCAATCTCACGCACAAGAACGCTCCGCTGGAACGGCAGTTTACGGATGAGCAGTTCGGTTGACTTCTGGTAACGACGGATCTCCCTGAGAGCAACGGTGCCAGGACGATAACGATGCGGCTTCTTCACTCTTCCGACGGCTGGGGCAGATTTTGTGCAGCCTCGGTTGCCAGTGGTTTTCTCGGAGCTTTTCCGCCGGTAGACTTGCGCGCCGTTTGCTTAGTACGAGCCATTGCAAGTTGGACAGCGATGGGAGTGCTGACAGCTTGTGCGCTTATATAACCCCGAGCCAAGGGGGCGGAGCCTACGTCACGCGCGTGTCCCTCGACCGCGAATACAAGCGCATTTTTGCTGCTCATAAGTGTTACGTACCATCCATTCTCTGAAAGTAGAGAAGGTAGTTGCTGCGCAGAATGTTTAATCAAGTTCGATCGTGAATGTGGTGAAAGGATCTCGGAGGAAGTGATTCGTGAGTTTGAGCTTGGTTCGAAATTGGAAGTTCAGCGCATTATCAAAAATTGAATTCTGAGTGCAAGCACTGTTTCCGCACTTCATCTGTTAATCGAAAGCATTAGCATTGCCCAAGCTACTTCAATAACAGCACAGACACTGCACAGACACGTCACCTCAAATGGGGGCCCAACGGAGTGATCCGAGCTCAGTTTCTATAAGCAGCGCTTCATCTCATTTGTGAGTGCAAGCGTCGTCATGTCTTGTTGCTGAAAAGGAGGCAAAAGGATTGGCAGGGAGCTGCGAAGCCACATCGCAAGCGCTCTGTGACAACATCCAAGGAATCATTAACAGCAAATCGGCGATCGTTCGTCGTGGTGGAGCATCCCTGGCCTAGTCTACGAGGAAACTCGTGGTGTGCTGATAGTACTTCTGGAAAGACGCATCACATATTGCATGTGAAGAGAAAAACCTTTACTGCGAGGATGTCGTCTATGCCCTCAAGCGCCAAGAACTGCACTTCATGAATTCGGAGGATACTGACAACTTCGAACTGATTCTGACCCAACGGCTCTCTTTGAGGCCGTATCATTACAATTACAGATCCTCTGCTGAAACTGTAACGATCTTCTCCTTGATACTTCGGTAAAAAAGAAGGTTACATCTACAAGAATATAACCATGTTTATTCATTACTACACAAAATCATTGAGCTAGGAATGTGGCCCTAAGGAAAGTCGTTGGGTTAGGTTGAGTGCGCTAACAGTGCAGGTTTACGCCTTCTCCTCGACAGCGGACTTCTTCGGTAGGAGGACGGAGTGGATCAATGGCAAGACTCCTCCTTGAGCGATGGTGACACCAGTCAGCAGCTTGTTCAGCTCATCGTCATTGCGAATGGCGAGCTGGAGGTGACGAGGGTTGATGCGGGTTTTCTTGTAGTCGCGCGCTGCATTCCCGGCCAGTTCGAGCACCTCGGCTGCCAGGTATTCCAGAACAGCTGCGAGGTAGACAGGAGCTCCACCTCCGATGCGATCGGCATAGTTTCCCTTGCGGAGTTTGCGATGGATGCGTCCCACACGAAACTGGATCCCAGCTCGGCTCGATCGAGTGGACTTCGCCTTCGATCCGCTTTTCGGTTTCCTTTTCCGCGTCCAGACATATCGATGACTTTGAACTGCGAGTAGACTCACTGATACAGCTGCCTAGGGTGAGGGCTTCTATAGACTGCCGCGGAGCATAGCCCGCCCATGTGGGCGGGGCTTTCTTGCAAGCGCAGCCGACTGCGATGTGCATTTCAACAGTCAGAGCCATCACATCAGGACAAGGGTGAGATGAATATGAATTCGGATTTGGGACGAAACTGAAGAACTTCATAATTCACTACCGTTCGAAATTGAATACGTCAAAAGACGTAGAGTATGTATGATCGGTCATTGGTTCTAAACTTTGTGCCTTAGTTCTGGCTAGCCCAACTCTGTTTATGCGCATCCTATTCAATGTATGCATTGTCTCACATTGGAGCAAATGAATGACCCAAAACTTTTTAGAAAAATTTATTCATATTGACGTCCGCGCGCGCAGGGGACATCGAAGACTGCAGGAAATATAAAGTCGCGACGAACACGAGATAAACTCAAAAGCATCGATCCCGTGAAAGAGACTAGACCGATCCGACTGGAGAATAGTATCTACCTGTTTACCAGCTACTGTGCTCAGACTGCGTCGCTGTCGTCAATAAGAAGAGCTGCACCACTCCTCTTCCCTCTCCAATTCTTCAACTGCCCGCAGTGTGAAATGAAAAACAAGAGATTGCACTCAAATCTACTGCAGCTCAAGGTGTTCCGCCAAATAATCAACATGTGGGAAATGACCATGCGGCATATATTCGACAAGCCTATATTGTCTAAAACAAAAGTAGCATTCTTCAATGGTCTTGACTCAAATTGAGTGGGTAAAATAGCACGTAGCAACAAAGGGACTTACATGGACATTCGTCATCTTTAGTTGGCGCAACAGCGATAGAGAGCTGAATGGGCTCTCTCCCCGTTACGAAGTGGTACCATCCATGCAAAACTTTACCGCTTTGATTCACCCTGTAATGTGGTGTCCAAAATTTCCTGTATTCTGTACATCTCGGTTTATTTGTGTACCATTATCAGCAGAACTATGAACCACTGAGTTCAGCCAATGCTGTGTCAAATTTCGAACTGCAAATGTCAGGTCATCACATCAAGAAACTATACAAAAAGTAAGACCTGAGAAAGGCAAACATGCGTTTTTTTTTTATGGAGTTTCTAGACAAAACTACTGGTCAGTGGATTGTTAAATGACAAGGAATACTTTTCCAGAAGCGCCGTCATCGGAGTGGGTAAGTGAGATCCCCTACTCTAGGGAAGCACTGTAAATTCCTTTGCTCTCGGAGAGCTCTGTACCTAGTATGACCTAAACAACGCTTTGTTAACCTACTCAGTTTCTAAGTCCGCTGCCAAACGATCCTAATGCAATGGCGCTTTAGCGTCAAATTCATGTTATTTAGAACTTCGAGTGAAGAGAAAACGAATGTGTACTATATACATGAACAAATGTGACAGCAAATCATCTGTGGTGTTTTCTAGCATTGCAAAACCTTCAACCTTTAACATTGAGACCGCTTTAAAAATGGAAAATGAGCGCCTTTAATTCAGTTTTCAACAAGTTAAATGGACTGAACCTGCAGTTCTTGTTCCGTATTTTGAGTCTTTTGCACATCAAAGTTTAGGATCAGCGCACTAAATTCCCAATTTTTCTGCATCCAACATCCATGAAATCTTTCAAAAAGTGCTCGGAGCACGAGAGGGTACTCATTCACAGCTAGAAATTGACTGTGAGATCGTGCCAAGTCATGCGGTGAAACGTCCCACGAGAAAGTGAAGCTCGACTCCTATACATCTCGAGCTGATTCTTCTTCCGCTCTTCTACGAGGGACCGTAGATTCGCCCGCAGGAACGATTACTTTTGGATTGGAGCAGGAATCCTCCGTAGAGCACCTTACTCTTCCAACGCTGAATTTGAGGATGCGCTTGTCAAATAACTCAATGTTGCGTCTTGCAACTCTACTACTGCATCTAGTCTCCGTATCAAGCTTTCGAGCCACTTTCTTTGAAAGCGGCGTCCAGACAAATCTGGACGTAAGGGTATCGCCAGCGGGAACTGATTTTGGGAAACCGCGCAGAGTTACAGCATAAAATGAGTTACTCAAGCTCTAAGTTTCCATTACTATCAGCATCAAGTACAATCTTTGTTGATGTGGTTTGAATTTGTACATGAAAGTTTGATTTGCCTTTTCCTCTTCTCTTTAGTGAATATCACTTTTTCGATCTGAAATCTGTTCAGGTACGAAGGTAAGGAGATAAATAAATATTAACCATGTTGATAGCTTATTGTCGAGGTTGTTATTCTTTTTAAAGATATGCACATGCCTAGTTTACAGTGTATGAGCATAAATGGCCTTCCCTCTTGAGAAGTGGTTGTTTTTTCAATGAGTCAAATTTGAACAGCCCTCTTCAAAAAGACATGAAGGCAAGAGAGTTATTAACGATCATACAGTGTGCACATTATTTTGGGATACGCTGTAGATTTTTGTCACCATACATAATGCTGCTTGGACCTGAAAGGCTAATTCAAGTATCAGGTGCATAGAGCTTTCCTCAGAAATGTAAGCGAGGAAAAAAGACCACTGAACTTCATTTTTCAAAGCTCGCCAAGAATATAAGTTTGCAAAAGAATCTGAAATGCTGATGCTTAGGTTTTACGACTTAGTTTGTCGAAAATGCAGGCACCATTAACCGAGACCGTTTGCAATAAGAATTGCAAAGTCACCTTCAACAAACTTGAACTATGACTCCAGTTTTCAAGTCAGCCCTTGCAGTGTTTCAGATTTACAAGAACATGATAAAATGACAAAAGGAGAATGATTCTACAATAGGCCTGAATGATTCAAGTAAATCTGAATTACTACAAAGCAAATCATGGCAGAGCTTGACTGTGAAATGTTCTCCTTTTCGGAGCATAAAGCGCTGCGATGTATTTTTTATTCCGCATGCTTTAGTGTTTATGCATTGAATTGCGATACCCTCATGAAATCAATCTTTATTCCACGTTTATCTGGAAGATTGTTTGATAATGCACACAACTTGCACAAACTTGTTGCCAATCCAATATTCTCGGATAGATTTCTGTTGCCAAGCATGGCATAGAAGAAGTCCGCTCAAATGACAGACGCGGCAAGAGCGTCTGCAAAAGTGTTAGCCGTAATTGAGTACTACATCCGAGCGCAAAAGCTTCACTGATATAAGTCAGTGCATATCACGACCAGAGAAAGTGGCTCGACAAGCTTGTTACGGAGACTAGAGTTGCAGTAGTAGAATTGCAAGACGCAACATTGAGTTATTTGGCAAGCGCATCCTCAAATTCAGCGTTGAAAGAGTAAGGTGCTCTACGGAGGATTCCTGTTCCAATCCAAAAGTAATCGTTCCTGCGGGCGAATCTACGGTCCCTCCTCTTCTACTCATCTCCCTCATGTCCGGACACTTCCAACCCCCATCTCAACCTCGTCGATTGCTACTGATTTCAAAGAAGAATTTATATGCGCTCTGCGTGAAGCATGCTCCACCCTCCTGGGCGGGGCTTCGCCTTACTTCCGACGCGCGGTCTCTAAAAAAGCGCAAGCAAGGAGAAGCTTGTCACACATTGACGCAATCCTGCTATGGAGTTCGTCGAGCTTCCAGATTTGCTTCCAGAAGTGTCTGCCAACGGATCGAAGAAGCCTGTGAAGACTCGGAAGGGAGAGAGAGATCGGGCGACAAGATGAAGAAGAAGAGCAAAAAGAAGAGCTACTCTGGGTACATTTACCATATGCTGAAGCAAATCCATCCCGACCCTGAAGTGTCATGGAAGGCGATGTACATCGTGAACTCACTCGTGGACGACCTCTTCGTGCGCATCGCTGCAAAAGCTTCCCGTCCTACTCACCACAATAAGAAGACCACACTCTCTTCTGATGAGATTCAGACCGCCGTTCGTCTGATTCTGCCCGGAGAACTGGCCAAGCATGCTGTTTCCGAAGGCACAAAGGCCGTCTCCAAGGACGAACAGTAGCGACACGGCCCTGAAACGGCTGCATTCGCCATGGAGCGCGGATTATTGGGCAGATCTCCTCATTTCCAACTCCATTTGGTTTTCCTTGTCGCTGTTATGCGTTCTACTACCATTTATATATGTTTGAAACTCAGTTGTGTTGACCACTCGCATTATTTCGACGTACTCATGTATTCCCATAGGTTCTAGTATATGTTATTTTGCAGGAGCTTATAGTGGCGTCAGTGTATGCGTGGTATTAGTTGCTCATCTTTCTTCAGGAGTTACAGCTGGGCATGAACCTCGCTTGGTAAGCAGTCAACTTGAACTACCTCTTCTCAGCTTTGCTGTATAGTTTATTTCGTGCGACAGCGCCATCCGGTGGAGTTACGGTAGGATTACGGTAAGGGGTCAAAATCACGGATTTGCCCGAAACTTGGCAGGGGGGGGGGAGGGTCATTCGTCCCGCTGAGGCCAAATATCACAATGGTTTTGAACCGTAGAGTCATTTCCTCGGGTCACGGTAGCTACACGATAACGGGTGTAACACAGTTCTGCCTGAAACGGGTGTGCGGCGATTCGGACAATCGTGACTTTGCACACACGACCACCGCCGCGCGCTACACACCCTGCTGCGGTTTTTGCCTAAGCAAAGCACAGCGGAAAGATACATTTGCCGATTTGTAATTTTGACCCCTACCGTAAACCTACCGTAACCATGCAGGGAGACGTTTTCCTGCAGATAAAGTGTGACATTTCTAATTAGCATGTCAAAAACCACGTTTGTATGCGGTTGACGCTCGTCATAATGAGGTGACCTCGTGCTTAAGGAAGTATGATTAGTGATAACATGTCCAAAATCCTAGGTGGAAAATCAATGGCTCGGAAAACGAATAATCTTCTTCAACCCTGGAACATCGTCCAACTTTCACTTTGTCATCGCTTTAGGTTAGTGTTTTAGTGCGCGTATACCAGAGCCAACTTTCACTATCCTTGTACTTGCTCCTTTTGTAATCCATAAAGCGCAAAAGCCCTCACCATCAAGTTGATCCGTTGGAAAACGATTGGAGACAGTCTCCGAACTGGCTGAAACACAAAAGTCCCGCCACGAATACCCTGTACATGGCGCCAGAATACGGTAGCTGAAAATTGCAACGACTGCCAAATCTGTTCTGTTCTCCAAGGACGACGGAGGGCAAGCGTTAGGCCCCGGACAGACTTCACGCGATTTGATCGTCGCGACTGAATCGCGACGAGACAACTGTGATATCATTCCATGCCGATCAACTTGCATTTCGGTTGTGATACTTTTCCAGCCCGAAATTTTTTTATGTGAAATGAAAATGAATGGAAATGCGGCGATTGAGTCGCGACGATCAAATCGCGTGAAGTCTAACCGGGGCCTTAGGCGACAAAACGTGCAAAACGCAATCAACGTAAAGCCCATAAGTCAAAACTATGCGCCATTTTTTCTATCGTCGAGTAATGTATCGGCCGCAACCCCCACCCCCCCCCCCTCCTGTTTTTGGCGGAGGAGACGTTTTGCACGGGGAGTTTTTCGGGGTCGAAAAAATCGGGCTGTCGCCTACGCCTTACACCGGGAGACGGTCGTAAGGCGCGCATTTTCGTACGGCGGTCGCGCAGGGCCGCGTTGCGGTCGCCGCGGCAGTTTGAAATCTGCCCGGTATACTTGTCCCACTCTGCCGTCCTCGGTGGGACGCGCAAGACGCGTCAAGTCGACCCTGATGGCGCGCAATGCGGGACTCTGCGTCACTAACTCCTCCAATCGATATACTGCTGCATTTTCCGTCGCGATTGTATTACGACAGCATTCATGATGTTCTTGAGAGTTTACAGGGCTTTACAACCTGAGTGTCCCACCCGCCCCGCTAGGACGCCACGCTTAGGTCCGCGCAGCGTTCGTGGCGCTGGCTGCGCGTCGACTGAAGCTTGGCGAAATCCGGGCGATACGCAGCAAACGCCGCGCGCGGCCTGAGCGAGGCGGCCGCGTTGGAGGAGCCGCGCAAGCGAAACTTGCGACTCTCAGGTTGAAAAGCCCTGTACGTTATCTTCATCAGATGATTGCGAAGTGTGACGCGACTTTGCTTGATTGTCATCATTTTCAGAGGCCAGGTGTTCTTCACCACAGTACGATTTCTCAGAAGAGCTAGACGCGCACACTGAGATGGTCGCTACAATGTCGATGCTCGTATCTTTGAGAGACAGGTATGGTGTATGAATTTGTAATTTTTATTCTTTTCAAAATGTCTCTATATATTCTGTATCTTTTTTCGCCATTGCCCACAACCTTTTGATGCTTTCCTCTCAACATCTCATTACTAGAACTTTGATCGCTTAGCCAAATAAAAATAGCGCTCCCTGCATATAAATAACCTCGGCTAGACGTATTGAGGGAGAGCATGTGGAGCACCTGGGAAACCGCATGAAATGGGAGAGTTAGTGCCAGCCGAGGTCAGCAGAGAAAATTGAAGTATGCGCATATGGAATTGGTCTAGTTGCGAGTTTTTTGTCGAATTTTCAAGTAGCTGTGAAATGGAAAGAAGGGTCATATTTTTTTGGAACTAAAACTTTAGTTCAGTCTTTGCAAACAAGAATTCTCACTGTCGATTTATTTTCATAAAATTCCTATGCTTCATGTGTTTGTCGTTTGTATCACAGTGCTCATGCTTTAATGGCTGGTATTGAGCTCACAGGTCTTCATGTAAGGTTTTTTCAGGATTCTTTGGCCCGAGCAGCAACGCTGCAGGAATGTGATCGCGAAAGGGACCCCGAGATTCTAAACATCGAAGATTCCTTGGAGATATAACCCAAGCGGTAAGTTTTTCAAATCTTTTTTTGTATTTTACTGTTGAATATCTGAAATGTATGTTTTACAGACGGGCGTTCCTTCTGAGGAAATTGACTTGGACGATCTGCAAAAATGGAGTATCCTCATCAAGATGATAAGACGCACCCGTACGACAGCTATGATCCATTCGCTCATGAATATCAAATTTCCAAACTCAGGTTTTGGGAGATCGTCGAACATAATCACACACAGATCTCGTAAAGTGCGGTGTATCGTTATCATCGGGCTCTCATATCGTGGCTTACCCCTTTCCGCTTTAACATTGCCACAATAATATTGCTACAGGTGTACAGAAGTGCTTTAACTTGTTGTTTTTGAAGTCCCAAGATTCTGCTAGAGTTTTAGGTTTGACTCATTAATTAGGATATTGAAGTTGCTTTCCCAGTTCTCAGTTTTATGACCTCATTGATTTTGTCTATTTCAACGATTTAATGCATATGAAGAAGTTTCATTTGAACGTATTGATGAGATTCATATTAAGCAACAATGTTTTCAAACAACTTGCAATGGATAAAACATCACTACTACTGGACTAAAACGTTGGATCAGATCACATTTACCATAATCATAATCTTTTCAAACTCATTCCTCCACTACCGGCTTCTTGTTTCAATTTGACTTAGTTTGGTTTGTCTAATGAAGCGGCGATTTCGCCTAGCTCTTGTCTCATCTGAACAAGAATCATAAATGTAATGTAGAAAAAAGCTCTAAGAAAACAGACCTGCGCCATTCGGTCACTTGGTTTTGTCCATACTTCGCTGGTTTTCCACAGCCGCCGACGTTTCTTAGCGTTTTCCACAATCTCATTGAATGGTTGCTCATGTCGCTCTCGACTGGAACAACTCTCATGCACAAATGACTATAGAGAGAAAGAAAAACTGCTAATCCTTACTCAACAACAAGTCTTTGCGTTCTCCATGGCAGGATCAGCAAGAGCGTAGAGCACCGGGCTTATCCCATTCCAAATAAAGCGGTAAAACGGTACTCAAGTCTCTCGTCATAAGCTAGCTGCACACCTAAAGCGAACAACTGGATTGATTTGAGTTGAGAATTGAGCTAAGCGATTTTGAACTAAGAAAAAAGTATCAAAGACGACATAAGACCCAATTTACTTAGAAGGCTGCGAAAAGTTCACTTGCGAAACTACTTTCCGATAGTAAATAGGTGTGGTGTGCAGTAAAATCGCATGTTCGTATAGTCTGGGCCCCGGCCAGCTTCCCGTAGGTACCTCCGCGGCGCAAACGCAGCGCGCGCTCGGCCTGATGCTCCTCATTCCTCCCATGAGTAGTAAGCATTTCTAGATACAATGGGAGTAAAATGAGGAGTGGAAATGTCCAAGCCTAACTCGAAAGAAGCCTAGGCAAGATTATAATAAGTGATACATCTACTAATCGCATATTCCAGCCCGCTGCGAGTGTGAAGATTTCCAATCACTGAAGATGGTAATGAGTGAACCAAAAAAGGACGAACATCACTGGCAACAATTTTCACTTCTCTGTAGATGAAAGTCAAAATGTAAGCTGAAACACGAGCACAGTCGAAAGAGAAAGCACAACTGGCTTTTCGAAAGCTTTCACATGGACTTAGATGCAACCATTATTCAAAAATTGCATCTAGTAGCACGCTTACGTAAGGGAAACCTTTGATTATGTCATGCTTATTGTTAGAAATAATGAAAAAGTTAAAAAAAGAGAGAACTACGTAAAACAAAGGTGCTCGGGATTTCAGTGCACGTATAAGAACATCATAGGCAATTGTCTATGGTCGCTGAACCTATAATAGGGAGATCAGAGGGTAACACTACCAAACAAAACAAAAATCAAGGAATATTCCAAAGCAGGCTGAGTCGAGGAGCGCGTTGAAGGCATGCGCTGCGTGTGCATTGCAGTGGTACCTGTGGGAAGCTGGCTGGGGCACCCACTATAGAATATCTACTATGAAAATCTACAAATAACTTACTACGCACGGCGAAAAAGATGCGACGCAATCGATACATGTAATGTAATGGCTCGGAGAGAAATGGATTGCTAATGGAGCAATGCGTCAAAGGAAGAAAGAGCAACGCGATTGCAATTATAGGATTCTGCAATTGAAAAAGTTTTCCATCGTGAGAGTAGTAAATGAGATGTAGAGCGACAATACTTAAAACGATGCTAATCTGAGAATAACTATGAGTAGGAGGATGTAGTATTAGGATCAATCAACATAATAAAAAATTTCAAAAAACCTTTCTGGCGAAATCTGCACAAATTCTGCAGCAACAAACGGAACACAAAGATCATTACAGATAAGGAGAACGAAAAAAAGAGATATCGCCCATCATAAAATCCTCACCTTGTCCATAACATGTTGAAAAATTCTAATCGACGACGGAAAATCCAGCAATGTATCGATTGGAGGAGTTAGTGACACAGAGTCCCGCATTGGCGCCATCACGGCCGACTTGACGCGCCTTGCGCGTGCCACCGAGAACGGCAGAGTGGACGAGTATACCGGGCTGATTTCAAACTCCGCGGCGACCGCAACGCGGCCCTGCGCGACCGCCGTACGAAAATGCGCGCCTTACGACCGTCTCCCGGTGTAGGGCGTAGGCGACAGCTCGATTTTTTCGACCCCGAAAAACTCCCCGTGCAAAACGTCTCCTCCGCCAAAAACAGGGGGGGGGGGGGTGGGGGTTGCGGCCGATACATTACTCGACGCCATAGAAAAAATGGCGCATAGTTTTGACTTATGGGCTTTACGTTGATTGCGTTTTGCACGTTTTGTCGCCTAAGGCCCCGGTTAGACTTCACGCGATTTGATCGTCGCGACTCAATCGCCGCATTTCCATTCATTTTCATTTCACATAAAAAAATTTCGGTTTGTGTGGAGGTGTGTTGCAGACTTTGCCTGATAGAAGGATAAACTTGTTAAACCTCCATGTTATAGCATTGCTTTTCGTACTCTCTCGCTAGCAAAAATCGCCCCGCTGGAGTTGGCAAGACTCCACCTCCACACCTCTACGAATCTGGAAGCCGACGATATTTCGATTAGCTTCTGCACTGAATAAGGATAACGGAATTGCATCAGTTCTATGCAGTTATGTAGCTGTCATTCGGATAGAGATGAATCAAACACAATAAACGCTGCAAAGCAGTTTTCTTTCGAGTCTCAAAGTAAGAAGAATCCTTATTTTCAGGCAAAATGTCAACATCAATTTGTATCCAGCCGCACCTCGAACTCAATATAGCCGCGATATCTTTCAGAATTTAGCCTTTGTCAATACTTCAAGTTCATCTTATTTTTTCTGTCCACTATTCTTCGTTTGACAGGGCAAAGAGAAAAACCGCTTTATTCGCAGCAAAATCGCACCAGATATAGGTCAAAAAAAGGAAATGATACCATCACTCAGCAATGTAGAATGCAACTTCACTTCAAAAACAAGAAATCCCTGTACAAAAATTCCAAAGTTCTTTTGTAAGTCTATTTGTTCCACATAGTCATTATCGACAACGGTATCACAAGGGACCATTATGTATACAGAAATACTGCCTACAAGTGAATGAAGTCATGTTAAGTACCATTTCTTCAAGAAAAGACAAGAACCTAGGACCGTTAGGATAGCTAAAATAAAAAAACCATATGAATATACAAAAGTTAAACTTAAGCAGAATTTGGCACTGAAACGCGAGTGTAAGTAGCAGAGTTTACAAAATGCTCACGTCAATGGCCCTTGAGCTCGCCTCTTTCGAATGCACTTAGGTGTGAGATCCATCCTTCAAAAGAAACGATCGGCGAAGTCAAGCAAAAGGAGTGAGTGAGAGCTCTTACCTCATAAGTCCATAGCTATGGCGCACGAAGTTGAAAGCGATTTTTCTGCATCTCAACTAAAATGGAATGATTAAGTCGCGCAAACATTTTGATCATAACAAAAAGGCTAGCTATGAATAGGGGGAGGACATTCATAAGGTTATATCCATATAAGAAAATGATGAAATGGAAAAGTAGAAAAGCACAGAACACAAGAAAGGTCATACCTCTGATGAGTCAGGTGACGACTCCTCTTGCTCGCTTATATGTGCAACTACATGAAGGAACTCCCGTAGCAATAATACACCTCATACCCCTAAAGCAAAAAGCAAAAATGTTTCTTAAGGTGAAAGATATAGAACCGCAAAGGATAGACAAGAACAGAGACAAAAATGAATCACACAAGAACCGAAACATGTAGAAAGCGTGCAGACGCGCTCCAGTACAAAGATTGGAAGGACGAGAGTTGACGAACTCGGACTGGGCGTGGCCACTAGTCGTGCCTGTTCCAGGGCATTTGTCGCCTTCCGCGTGTTCCCCGACATACACCCCCCTACACCGGGTGGAGGAACGAAAGCCGCCAGGTCCAGCCGCCTCCGCGGACTGCTGGTCCTGGAACGACATGCAACAACGCTGCGAAAGGACCAGCTGGCCGCGAAAGGCGGCTGGACCTGGCGGCTTTCGTTCCCCCACCCCCCTACACCCAAGGACGACCAGTAACGACAATGGAGCGCGGATTGTGATTGGGGCAGATCTCCTCATTTCCAATTCCATTTGGTTTTCCTTGTCGCAGTTATGCGTTCTACTACCATTTATATATATGTTTGGACACTCACGTTGTGTTGACCACTCTCATTATTTCGACGTACTCATGTATTCCCATAGGTTCTAGTATTTGTTATTTTGCAGGAGCTTATAGTGGGGTCAGTGTATGCGTGGTATTAATTGCTCATCTTTCTTCAGGAGTTACAGCTGGGCTGAACCTCGCTTGGTAGGCAGTCAACTTGAACTACCTCCTCTCAGTTTTGCTGTACCTCTCGAAAAAGGGTACTATTCCACATTAGCAGAAAAAAATGAAAACTGCGGATTTCGTTAGAACTTCGGCTAAGGGGTTTGTTTTGCACGCTGAATACGAATATCACATTTATTTCGCACGGTAATGCCATCCGGTGGAGTTACGGTAGAGTTACGGTAAGGGTCAAAATCACGGATTTGCCCGAAAGATGACTCAGAGGGGTCATTCGGCCGCTGATGCTGAATATCACAGGCGCTATTCCACATAAGTTGACCCAAAAAATGAAAATCGTGAATTTCGCCAAAACTTCTTCTAGGGAGGTTATTTGGCATGCTGAACACGAATGTGATGTTTATTTCGTGCGAAAGCGCCATCCGGTGGAGTTATGGTAGGATTACGGTAGGGGACCAAAGTCACGGATTTGCCCGAAATTTGGCCCAGAGGGATTATTCGGCCCGCTGAAGCCGAATATCACATTGGTTTCATACTGTAGTGTCATTTTCTCGAGTTACGGTGGGTATACGGTAGGAGATCAAAATCTCGAAATTTGCTGTAACTTTGCACAGAAGGGTTATTCGACATGCTGATTAGAAATGTCACTCTTTCTCCGCACGAAAACGTCTCCCTGCATGGCTACAGTAGGTTTACGGTAGGGGTCAAAACCAAAAATCCTCAAATGTATCTTTCCCCTGTGCTTTGCTTAGGCAAAAGCCGCAGCAGAGTGTGTAGCGCGCGGCGGTGGTCATGTGTGCAAAGCTTCACGATCATCCGAATCGCCATACACCCGTTTCGGGATGAACTATGTTTTACATCCGTTACCGTGTATCTACCGTAGCCCAAGAAAATGACGCTACGGTTCAAAAACAATGTGATATTTGGCATCAGCGGGCCGAATAACCCCTCTGGGCCAAATTTCGGGCAAATCCGTGATTTTGACCCCGTACTGTAATCCTACCGCAACTCCACCGGATGGCACTTTCGCACGAAATAAACATCATATTCGTGTTCAGCATGCCAAATAACCCCACTAGACGAAGTTTTGGCGAGATTCACGATTTTCATTTTTTGGGTCAACTTATGTGGAATAGTACCATATCACATTGGTTTTTGTACCGTAGCGACATTTTCTCGGGTTACGGTGGGTATACGGTAGGGGGTCAAAATCTCAAAATCCGCTTTAACTTCGCACAGAGGAGTTACTCGACATGCTAATTGAAAATGTCACACTTTATTCTGCAGGAAAACGTCTCCCTGCATGGTTACGGTAGGTTTACGGTAGGGGTCAAAATTACAAATCGGCAAATGTATCTTTCCGCTGTGCTTTGCTTAGGCAAAAACCGCAGCAGGGTGTGTAGCGCGCGGCGGTGGTCGTGTGTGCAAAGTCACGATTGTCCGAATCGCCGCACACCCGTTTCAGGCAGAACTGTGTTACACCCGTTATCGTGTAGCTACCGTGACCCGAGGAAATGACTCTACGGTTCAAAACCATTGTGATATTTGGCATCAGCGGGCCGAATAACCCTCCCCCCCCCCTGCCAAGTTTCGGGCAAATTGGTGATTTTGACCCCTTACCGTGATCCTACCGTAACTCCACCGGATGGCGCTGTCGCACGAAATAAACATCATATTCGTGTTCAGCGTACCAAATAACCCCTACAGACGAAGATCCGGGCAAATCCGTGATTTTCATTTTTTTGGGCACTGATGTGGAATATTACCCTTTTTCGAGAGGAATCTATACAGCAAAGCTGAGAAGACGTAGTTCAAGTTGACTGCTTAGGCTCCCGCCGGGGACATCTACCTGCTGAGCTAGCCCCGCCCCAACGAAATACACGTATATCGATCGAGATGCTGGCGTAGCGCTGGCATAACTTCGGCACTCTGGCGGGAGCCTTATCAAGCGAGGTTCATGCCCAGCTGTAACTCCTGAAGAAAGATGAGCAATTAATACCACGCATACACTGACGCCACTATAAGCTCCTGCAAAATAACATATACTAGAACCTATGGGAATACATGAGTACGTCGAAATAATGCGAGTGGTCAACAAAACTGAGTTTCAAACATATATAAATGGTAGTAGAACGCATAACAGCGACAAGGAAAACCAAATGGAGTTGGAAATGAGGAGATCTGCCCCAATAATCCGCGCTCCATGGCGAATGCAGCCGTTTCAGGGCCGTGTCGCTACTGTTCGTCCTTGGAGACGGCCTTTGTGCCTTCGGAAACAGCATGCTTGGCCAGTTCTCCGGGCAGAATCAGACGAACGGCGGTCTGAATCTCATCAGAAGAGAGTGTGGTCTTCTTATTGTGGTGAGTAGGACGGGAAGCTTTTGCAGCGATGCGCACGAAGAGGTCGTCCACGAGTGAGTTCACGATGTACATCGCCTTCCATGACACTTCAGGGTCGGGATGGATTTGCTTCAGCATATGGTAAATGTACCCAGAGTAGCTCTTCTTTTTGCTCTTCTTCTTCATCTTGTCGCCCGATCTCTCTCTCCCTTCCGAGTCTTCACAGGCTTCTTCGATCCGTTGGCAGACACTTCTGGAAGCAAATCTGGAAGCTCGACGAACTCCATAGCAGGATTGCGTCAATGTGTGACAAGCTTCTCCTTGCTTGCGCTTTTTTAGAGACCGCGCGTCGGAAGTAAGGCGAAGCCCCGCCCAGGAGGGTGGAGCATGCTTCACGCAGAGCGCATATAAATTCTTCTTTGAAATCAGTAGCAATCGACGAGGTTGAGATGGGGGTTGGAAGTGTCCGGACATGAGGGAGATGAGTAGAAGAGCGGAAGAAAAATCAGCTCGAGATGTATAGGAGTCGAGCTTCACTTTCTCGTGGGACGTTTCACCGCATGACTTGGCACGATCTCACAGTCAGTTTCTAGCTGTGAATGAGTACCCTCTCGTGCTCCGAGCACTTTTTGAAAGATTTCATGGATGTTGGATGCAGAAAAATTGGGAATTTAGTGCGCTGATCCTAAACTTTGATGTGCAAAAGACTCAAAATACGGAACAAGAACTGCAGGTTCAGTCCATTTAACTTGTTGAAAACTGAATTAAAGGCGCTCATTTTCCATTTTTAAAGCGGTCTCAATGTTAAAGGTTAAAGGTTTTGCAATGCTAGAAAACACCACAGATGATTTGCTGTCACATTTGTTCGTGTATATAGTACATATTCGTTTTCTCTTCACTCGAAGTTCTAAATAACATGAATTTGACGCTAAAGCGCCATTGCATTATGATCGTTTGGCAGCGGACTTAGAAACTGAGTAGGTTAACAAAGTGTTGTTTAGATCATACTAGGTACAGAGCTCTCCGAGAGCAAAGGAATTTACAGTGCTTCCCTAGAGTAGGTGATCTCACTTACCCACTCCGACGACGGCGCTTCTGGAAAAGTATTCCTTGTCATTTAACAATCCACTGACCAGGAGTTTTGTCTAGAAACTCCATCAAAAAAACGCATGTTTGCCTTTCTCAGGTCTTACTTTTTGTATAGTTTCTTGATGTGATGACCTGACATTTGCAGTTCGAAATTTGACACAGCATTGGCTGAACTCAGTGGTTCATAGTTCTGCTGATAATGGTACACAAATAAACCGAGATGTACAGAATACAGGAAATTTTGGACACCACATCACAGGGTGAATCAAAGCGGTAAAGTTTTGCATGGATGGTACCACTTCGTAACGGAGAGAGAGCCCATCCATCTCTCTATCGCTGTTGCGCCAGCTAAAGATGACAAATGTCCATGTAAGTCCTTTTGTTGCTACGTGCTATTTTACCCACTCAATTTGAGTCAAGACCATTGAAGAATGCTACTTTTGTTTTGGACAATATAGGCTTGTTGAATATATGCCGCATCGTCATTTCCCACATGTATGTCCCACTGAAAGCTGGAGTGCAGCTTGTCCTTGTCGCAATGTGTAATTCCCTCCAACCTTTCTCCTCCAAGTCTACAATGCAGCTACATTATCAAAACGACTGTCCTTGCGGCACCTGGTAAGCTTGCTGCCAGCTACGTCCTTCGCGCCATGCCCCGCCCACTTGGGCGGGGCTTCTACGCGCTACCTCTATAATAGCGTACCGAAGGAGGAGCTCGGCATATTGATACGATCGTCTTACGAAACGCGTCTTGCCACCAAAGCCGTCTGCCAAAGGAGCGAAGAAGTCCGCGAAAAATATCGGGCGACAAGAGGAGGAAGAGCAGGAAGGAAAGCTACTCCATCTATATCTACCTTGTGCTGAAGCAAGTTCATCCCGACACTGGAGTTTCAATCGAGGGCTATGTCCATCATGAATTCGCTCGTGAACGATGTCTTCCTGAGCGCCTCGCTGCGGAAGCTTCCCGTCTTGCTCACTACAACAAGAAGACCACCATCTCCTATCGTGAAATCCAGACCGCCGTCCGCCTGATCCTGCCTGGAGAGCTGGCCAAGCATGCTGTGTCCGAAGGCACGAAGGCTGTCACTAAGTACACTTCCAACAGGTAAGCCTAGCTTGATGGAGCACTTTTACAACTAATCTACCCAACGGCCCTCTTTAGGGCCACATCGAACTGCCAGTACTGTTTCTCGAATTAAAACTCTTGAACTGTTGTTTTGTTCATATGTATTAAAGAGTGATTCAGTCTGTGAAATGAAGTAGAGCTTGGTTCTAAACTCGGATAAAGTCGGTATTCGAAACTAACCCTTCGGTTTTAGTAGATGCAAAAGAAGGGAGAAGGGTTAAACTGCAGTATATTCTTCAGGGCAGATTAGGACATCTGTGAAACAACAGGAAGGTATACTGATAAACACAAATCTTTTCTACCCGCAAAATAACTACACAGTTCGCTCTTTGTGACGATCGTCGAACAGTGAGTGGGATCCGCTGTTCATATGGGAGGTTGCCATATGCAGAAAACTTCAATGAGTGCATTACGAAGTGTACCAAGGGAAATCGTGCGTGATTATTTGGCGGAACACCTTGAGCTGCAGTAGATTTAAGTGCAATCTCTTGTTTTTCATTTCACCCTGCGGGCAGTTGAAGAATTGGAGAAGGAAGAGGAGTGGTGCAGCCCTTCTTAGGGCCGCATGCACTAACATCCCTGCGGCGAGGGGAGCGGCGTCCCCAATGATGAAAAAGCCGCAGCGGCGTCCGCACGCGGTCCCTTCATAACGGGGGACGCCGCTCCCCTCGCCGCAAAAATGTTAGTGCATACGGGCCTTATTGACGCCAGCGACGCAGTCTGAGCAGTGTAGCTGGTAAACAGGTAGATACTATTCTCCAGTGGGATCGGTCTAGTCTCTTTCACGGGATCGATGCTTTTGAGTTTATCTCGTGTTCGTCGCGACTTTATATTTCTCGCAGTCTTCGATGTCCCCTGCGCGCGCGGACGTCAATATGAATAAATTTTTCTAAAAAGTTTTGGGTCATTCATTTGCTCCAATGTGAGACAATGCATACATTGAATAGGGTGCGCATAAACAGAGTTGGGCTAGCCAGAACAAAGGCACAAAGTTTAGAACCAATGACCGATCATACATACTCTACGTCTTTTGACGTATTCAGTTTCGAACGGTAGTGAATTATGAAGTTCTTCAGTTTCGTCCCAAATCCGAATTCATTTTCACCTCACCCTTGCCCTGATGTGATGGCTCTGACTGTTGAAATGCACATCGCAGTCGGCTGCGCTTGCAAGAAAGCCCCGCCCACAGGGGCGGGCTATACTCCCGGCAGTCTATAAAAGCCCTCACCCTAGGCAGCTGTATCAGTGAGTCTACTCGCAGTTCAAAGTCATCGATATGTCTGGACGCGGAAAAGGAAACCGAAAAGCGGATCGAAGGCCAAGTCCACTCGATCGAGCCGAGCTGGGATCCAGTTTCGCGTGGGACGCATCCATCGCAAACTCCGCAAGGGAAACTATGCCATCGGAGGATCGGAGGTGGAGCTCCTGTCTACCTCGCAGCTGTTCTGGAACACCTGGCAGCCGAGGTGCTCGAACTGGCCGGGAATGCAGCACGCGACAATAAGAAAACCCGCATCAACCCTCGTCACCTCCAGCTCGCCATTCGCAATGACGATGAGCTGAACAAGCTGCTGACTGGTGTGACCATCGCTCAAGGAGGAGTATTCATCCACTCCATTCTCCTACAGAAGAAGTCCGCTGTCGAGGAGAAGGCGTAAGCCTGCACTGTTAGCGCACTCAACCTAACTCAACGACCCTCTTTAGGGCCACATTCCTAGCTTAATGATTTTGAGTAGTAATGAATAAACATGGTTATATTCTTGTAGATGTAACCTTCTTTTTTACCGAAGTATCAATGAGAAGATCGTTACAATTTCAGCAGACGATCTGTAATTCTAATGATACGGCCTCAAAGAAAGCCGTTGGGTCACAATCAGTTCGAAGTTGTCAATATCCTCCGAATTCATAAAGTGCACGTTCTTGGCGCTTGAGGGCATAGACAACACCCTCGCAGTAACGGTCTTCCCCTTCGCATGCAATATGTGATGCGTTTTTCGTACTGTCAGCACACCACGAGTCTCCTCGTAGACTAGGCCAGGGATGCTCCACCATGACGAGCGATCGCCGATTTGTGCTGTTAATGATGCCTTGGATGTTGTCACGAAGCGCTTGCGATGTGGCTTCGCACCTCCATGCCAATCCTTTTGTCTCCTTCTCGGCAACAAGACATGACGACGACGTTTGCACTCACAAATGAGATGAAGCGCTGCTCATAGAAACGGAGCTCGGGTCACCCCGCTGGGCCCCCAGTTGAGGTGATGTGTCCATGCAGTAGTCTGCGCTGTTGATTAAGTAGCCTGGGCATTGCTATGATTTCGATCAATAGATGAAGTGTGGAAACAGTGCTTGCACTCAAAATTCCTTTTTTGAGCATCACCCAACGCTGTACTTCCAATTTCGAACCAAACTCAAACTCACGAATCACATCCTCCGAGACCTTTTCAGCATCACGATGGGGTACTATTCCAGTATACCGACCCAAAAAATCAGAAATCTCGGATCGCTCAAACTCGGTATAGGGGAGTTACTCGATCCGCTGATGCCGAATATCATATCGATTCCGTGCGATAGCGCCATTTTCCGGAGGTTGCGGTGGGTGTACGGTAGGAGGTCAAAATCACAAAATTCTCTGAAACTTGGTGCAGGGGGGTTATTTAACATGCTGAACACGAATATGATATCCATTCGTTACGGTAGCACCTCATTCCGGGGTCACGGTGGGCATACTGTAGGAGGGTCCGATTCACTGCTTTCCACACCCACCGCCGCGCGCGCGATACACCACCCTGCGGCGGCTTTTGCGCAAAGCGGGGGGAGGAAATTTACGACGTGTGACTGAGATTCAGGCCCTGAATCTCGATCTAGCGGTGATATTGGTAATGTATACCTAATGTAACGTGAGAATGAGGCACTTTCGTAACTGATAAACATCATAATCGTGGTCAGCATGTCAAATAACCCCCTTACACGAAGTTACAGCGGATATCGTGATTTTGACCCCTTACCGTATACCCATCAAAACCCCGGAATGAGGAGCTACCGTAACGAATGAATATCGTATTCGTGTTCAGCATGTCGGATAACCCCCTCTTACCGAGTTTCAGAGAATTTTGTGATTTTGACCCCCTACCGTATACCCATATACCCACCGTAACCCCCGGAAAATGGCGCTATCGCACGGAATCGATATGATATTTGGCATCAGCGGATCGACCCCCCCCCCCCTATACCGAGTTTGAGCGGAATCCGAGATTTCTAATTTTTGGGGTCGGTATACTGAAATAGCGCCCTTATGAGCAACAAAAATGCGCTTGTATTCGCGGTCGAGGGACACGCGCGTGACATAGGCTCCGCCCCTTAGCTCGGAATTATATAAGCGCACAAGCTGTTAGCACTCCCATCGTTGTCCAACTTGCAATGGCTCGTAGTAAGCAGACGGCCCGCAAGTCTACCGGCGGAAAAGCTTCGAGAAAGCCACTGGCGATGAAGGCTGCACGAAAATCTGCCTCAGCCACCGGAGCAGTGAAGAACCCACATCGTTGTCGTCCTGGCACCGTTGCTGTCAGGGAGATCCGTCGTTACCAGAAGTCAAACGAACTGCTCATCCGTAAACTGCCGTTCCAGCGTCTTGTGAGTGAGATTGCGCAAGATTTTAAGACCGATCTTTGCTTCCAGTCTTCAGCGGCGATGGCCCTAGAGGCGTCCGAGACTTACCTAGTGGGAGTTTTTGAAGACACGAATTTGTGCGCCATCTATGCAAAGCGTGTCACCATCATGCCCAAGGACATCCAACTGGCTACGACCATTGTACCAGTGATAGATGTACAAATTGATGATGTAGTTATGACGGTACATAGATGTCTTTGAGCTAAATTACTTTTTTATCCGTGCTTGAGGCACTATTTCAATAAAGAATGATTAGATGGCAAGAGATGAAAGGTACTTATGGCACGTTATTAACTGCACTTCTTTTTGTGATTCTCCTGCAGAAAGGAGTCATTTTTCGTGTAGCGTCACTTGCTTCGCGTCAAAAGTTTGTAACTATAGGTACGAGTATATGGGAGGTTGCCATATGCAGAAAACTTTAGTGGGTGCATAACGAATTGTACCAAGGGAAATCGTGCGTGATTATTTGGCAGAACACCTTAAGCTGCAGTAGATTTCAGTGCAATCTCTTGTTTTTCATTTCACCCTGCGGAGTTGAAGAATTGGAGAAGGAAGAGGGGTGGTGCACCTCTTCTTATTGACGCCAGCGACGCAGTCTGAGCAGAGTAGCTGGTAAACAGGTAGATACTATTCTCCAGTGGGATTGGTCTTATCGCACGTTAATCTCTTTCACGGGATCGATGCTTTTGAGTTTATCTCGTGTTCGTCGCGACTTTATATTTCTCGCAGTCTTCGATGTCCCCTGCGCGCGCGGACGTCAATATGAATAAGTTTTTCTAAAAAGTTTTGGGTCATTCATGTGCTCCGATGTGAGACAAGCATACATTGAATAGGGTGCGCATAAACAGAGTTGGGCTAGCCAGAACTAAGGCACAAAGTTTAGAACCAATGACTGATCATACATACTCTACGTCTTTTGACGTATTCAATTTCGAACGGTAGTGAATTATGAAGTTCTTCAGTTTCGTCCCAAATCCGAATTCATTTTCATCTCACCCTTGCCCTGAGTGATGGCTCTGACTGTTGAAATGCACATCGCAGTCGGCTGCGCTTGCAAGAAAGCCCCGCCCACAGGGGCGGGCTATACTCCGCGGCAGTCTATAAAAGCCCTCACCCTAGGCAGCTGTATCAGTGAGTCTACTCGCAGTGCAAAGTCATCGATATGTCTGGACGCGAAGGAAAGCGAAAAGCGGATCGAAGAACGAGTCCACTCGATCGAGCCGAGCTGGGATCCAGTTTCCAGTGGGACGCATCAATCGCAAACTCCGCAAGGTATGCCGATCGCTTCGGAGGTGGAGCTCCTGTTTACCTCGCAGCCAACACTGCAAAAGGATCAGTAGGAGCGGAGACGACTCAAAACTGGCAGAGTCCGTTCTAGAGGAACGAACACCTCAATCAGACACCTCCTACGCGAGCAGCTGGTCCTTTCGTCCCACTGTTGTGCATCGCGCTAGGACAAGTAGCGGAGGCGATGCCTATTGACCTATTGTGTGTTGTGAGGTGTTCGTTCCTACACCCAAGTTTGTTCCCTTACCCCTGCCACTCTGTCAAGCTGCGTAGCTCGCCGGTAAGAAGAGCTGCATCAACCCTCGTCATCGTGAGGAAGTTGAAGAGGCGATCAGTTTCCTCTCCGGTTACCAAGAAGGTGTTTTGCCTAAGCTGTGTACGACTACGGCAGCCTAACATACACGGGCGTGCTCAAGTCACCCCGTTGCGCCCCTGATTGCGAAATTACGTGCCAGATGCTACCCTACTTTTCCTTGTGCATAAGCCTGCTTTCTCGGAGGTCGAGTATTTCATTTAGAGGTACGTAATTTCTACAGATAGGCAAGAACATAGGATATCATTAAATATACATATGAAATTCATGTTCAAGCTAGGTATACCCCAGGATATCATCAAGTATACATATGAAATTCATGTACAAGCTAGGTATAACCCCCCCCCCCCGCCTAGACGAAGTTTAGGGCATTCGCGTGATTTTAACTACCTCCCAGCCTTATTGCCCTTTGCAGATTTCTGCTCTAGACTGGCACGAGAATTTCGAAGGAGGATAATGGGCATCGGGGTAACAAATTCTATTGAAATCATTTTGTTGTATTTTTAAATTTTATTTTCTTGTGTTTTGTGATGACGTTGTGTCCCTCAATTTTTAGGCCTTTGAGGAAGAATCAAATATTCTCAGTTTACTACGTTTCGATGGAGGATAATGGGAATCTGCTGGGGTAACAAATTTTTTTGAAATTATCTTGTATTTTTAAATTTCATTTTCTTGTGTTTTGTAATGACAGTTGTGTTTTCAGAAGACTTTTGGGGAAGGATCAGGTATTCTCGGTTTACTACGTTAGGCGAAAATAACTAATATTTGAGCAGAAGGATATATTCAGAAAACATGTATGTTGTGCTGTAGAGGAAGCGCGAGAAAGCCGCGCCCGAGTAGATGGTTTTTACTCCGCACCACTATACCGGGGCTCACCAAGATGAGCTTTATTCGCAATCCATCACTTCTGGGATTGTTGCAGCGATGCCTGGACGTGGAAAAGGCAAATTAAAGAGTGGAGGAAAAGCCAAATTAAAATTGGCGAGAGATTACGCCAATCACATCGGAGGTGGGTCACCCGTCTATCTGGCAGTTGTCCTTGATTACCGAGCTGTGAAGTCCTTGAACTGACCGGGAAGGCAGCTCGATACATTAAGATTTGCATCAACCCTCATCATCTTCACTTGGCTCTTCACAACGATAATGACCAAAGCTGCTCTCCGGCATCACAGTTGCTCAGGATGGTGTTCTGCCAAACAACCAAGCGTCCTCCTTCCCAAAAAGACCGCTGCGGAAGCAAAGTGAGCATTAATGTTAATGAATCAAAAGCTAACCCAACGGCCCTCTTTAGAGCCTTATGCCGTCGCTTTATCATGTGCTGCATGATGAATAAACATGGTCATGTTCTATCTAACAAGGGAAGTCACTTAACTTAGTTTGGCCTTTTGAAATGAGGCACATATAACTATGTAGAATCAGCTCGAAACGCTGATTCCAAGTATGCTGTTCTTAGCTGCGAAGCATTCCTCTGAAGCGAGTTATGAGCTTTTAGTATGTGTAATTGAAAAACTGAATATAGAAAGAAAGCCTTTAGATGAAAATCCGCCTAAAAAAGTGGTGGGAAATCGAAATAACATCAAACTGAGTCATTTGGCTTTGACAGGGTGTTGTATGCATTTGAACTACTACCTGGATGACGATATCGTACATCTAAGTCGGTTAGCACGCAAACTTTGCTCAAGAAAAAGCTCATAACTCGCTTCAGAGGAACGCTTCGCAGCTAGGGACAGCATATTTGGAATCGGCGCTCCGAGCTGATTCTAAATATACATGCGACTCATTTCAAAAGGCCGACCTAAGTTGACACCTTGACGACCGCGCCATTTTGGGCGAAACCCACACTAACGTCATTCGCGCATTTGGCCCGTGCATACGCGCGGATGCACGAAAACATTATGTGGGAGTCTTTTTGACAGTCAATCATAAAACATGCGAACTTTGTTCAGCCATACAGGTATATCACAGAGCCTTATCAGGACTTACACAAACCAAGGTTTTTGCATCGATTTTCCCTCCAATAAACCACCTTCTTCGAGAAAAGCGTTGTAATACCAGGTGTTTTTTGCCTTATTCATCCTTGTTTGCTTTCCAAACCGCTACACAGGGTTTCCACCTTCTCGGAAAAACGTAACTGCCATGTATTTACCACATCAAAAACGAACATACTACCCAATTTTGCGGCCAAAACTTCTGAACAGCTGCCGCGATGCCCTGTGTTCTGTAAGACAATCAGGGCACCAATAGTATTACTGCACAAAAGTTACCTTAAAGCTTTTCGTTTACACTCAAAAAACTGGCGTCCACATGCGCGGATGCATGAAAATGCTAAACGGGAGTCAGCGCGTGCATACGTGCGGATACACAAGGTCGTCAACGTGTTAAGTGACTTCCCTTGTTAGCTCGGCCTTTTGGCAAGAGACAAATATAGTCTGAATCAGCTTTAAATGCTGATTTCAAATATGCTATTCGTAGCTGCCATGCACCATTCCGAAGCGAGTTACGGGCTTTTTCCTGCGCAACATTGGCATGCTCATTAACTCACGGGCATCACGTCATCTTCATTTGAGTGCTGATACACCTGCGTTAAGCTTTTTTTAGTGAGAAAAGATTGGATTTGCACTATTTCGATACGTCAGCACCTTTTTCTTGCAGATTTTCATCTGCAGGCAGCTCGCTTCGGAATGGTGCGTGGCGGCTAGGAACAGCATATTTGGAATCAGCGTTTGAAGCTGATTTGGAATATACAGGGTGTCCCCAAAAAATGTATCGAACGTTTGATCGTTAATATCTCTCTTCTAAGGAAGTCTTTTCTCTTGCTTCAGGTACCAATATGTAAAGCTGGCTTCAACTTAGATTTGCATTATAGAACGAATCACCCATCTCTCTTCATTAATGTAGGATTACGGTAGAAACTTCAAAGAGAGTTTTAAGCAATGAAAGGCCATATTTTGCCTGAGAAAGGAAACAGAACAACCTGGAAGCTTCTACACTAGGCTAATTAGAGTCGCTGATTATAACTGTATAGTTCCCAACCAATTATGATGCTTCATTGAAGAGTTATGCCAGGTAAGAGGTAGCGGCCATTTTTTCAATGTTCCTAAAAAAGTGCGGTTACACCGTTTAGAAAGCTTCGTAATCTTGTGAATAGTTGAGTATTGAACTCAGCGTCCATAAAAAACCCTATAAGGGTGCCTTCATACCGCGCCGGGAGCCGCCTTTGGCAGCCCGTAGCAGCCGCCAGCAGCCCGTAGCAGCCCGTAGCAGCCCGTAGCAGCGCTGGCCGCTTTTGATCCGGAGCGAAAAATTATCAGATTACTACTTTAAGTGCTTCTACCTACGCTTTTCATCTTCCACGCCTTTTCTTCTCTTGCCGCGAATGTAAGCTTGATTTCACACATTACATTTGCTCCATTGTTCTGTTGCCGCACTTTGCATCCTCCTATCGGAGCCTACATTTCACTTTTTTCAATCTGTTTCGTCTATAACGATTGCCAGCGATTGTCAAAGTCAGAAGAACCCACCCGCGAATCAATTCTGCAAACTTGCGAAGTAGTAGAATGCAATTTAGATATGCATCGATATCTAACAAGAAGGCTGAAGCAAAAGCATACTCAAAAAGTGAACAAATTGCACACCTGCAGGAAAAGAAAGCATTCAAAGTCAGAGGGAATCACAGAGGAAAGAAACCTGCGACCTATAGTTCAAAGAATGAACTATACGGCGTCAAGATAATGAAATGGACACAAAAATGATATGTGGGTCGAACTACTGGTGGCAACAGAAGGAAAAGCGTGGAAAATGAAAAGAACAGGCAGGGGTACTAAGATTCTCAAAGTACTGATGAGTTTGCGTTCCTATAACAAAAGCGGCCAGCGGCGGCTACGGGCTGCTACGGGCTGCTACGGGCTGCTGGCGGCTGCTGACGGCTGCTACGGGCTGCTGGCGGCTCCTACGGGCTGCTAGCGGCGGCTGCCGGCGCGGTATGAAGGCACCCTAACATGAGTTTTCAGAATTTTTTGAAAAATTTTGGAACGGCAGCTTTTTCCACATTGGCACCATATGTTTCAAGTTTCTACCGTAATTCTACAGTAATGAAGAGAGGTGGGTGATTCGTTCTAAAATGCAAATCTAAGTTGAAGCCAGCTCTACAAATGGTACCTGAAGCAAGGCAAAAGACTATTCGGGAACAGAGATATTAACGATCAAACGTTCGATACATTTTTTTGGGACACCCTGTATATGCCTTTTAGCAAAAGACCGAGCTAAGTTAGGTAGCTTTCCTTACAAGATATAACCCATTTTTGAAGCAACGCTCACTTTATTCTTCTTTCGCTTAGCTCTCAGATCATGTATTCGACGCTAAGGCCAAAGGGGGATTACTGTTAGCATCCGAGTAGAACAAGTGAGTGGAACATGACAAGCGTTGATTGGATCTGGGCCCATGTTCAAGGCAGTATCCGGGCAAAGTCGATTTTGAGATTTTGTGCTTACGCGGGTCTATTCGCTATGCTGAATTCGAAAATCCACATTGAAGAGCGCGAAAATGGCGAAAAGGACTCTACAGCAGGAGGGAAATCAGAGGTGGGCAGGGTCTTCCTTATTGGAATTTACGCTCCCAACTTCCGGAGCGATCTTCTGGATTTCCCTAGCCACCCTGACATCTCCACCGACCAAGTGCAAATGCCTGACTTGAAATCAGGATTAAGAAGATCGCTCCGGAAGCTGGGAGCGTGGAGTAGGAGATCTTTTGCATGTACTAAAGTCCTTTTGATGCACGTAAAAAAAACAATCATTCAAACTTTCATTCAATAAGACACAGTTGGCAAATGATGTGGCCCTAAAGAGGGCTGTTGGGTTATCTGTGCTGCAAGTCAGCTTGGCTTACTTGCTGGAGGTGTACTTCGCTACAGCTTTAGTACCTTCGGCTACAGCATGCTTGCCCAATTCTCCGGGTATAATCAGGCGTGCGGCAGTTTGAATTTCACGCGAGGTGAGAGTGTTCTTTCGGGTATACTGGGCGACTCGAAAAGCTTCCGTAGCAATGCTGTCGAAGACATCATTCACAAGGGAGTTCATGATTGACATCGCCCTCGCTGATACTTTCGTTTCCGGATGGACTTGCTTCAGCACTCGGTAGATGTAGATGTAGTAACTCTCCCTTTTGCCTCTGCTTTTCCGCTTTCTTTCGCCTGACTTGCCAAATTTCCTGCTGTTTGCAGTCTGCCTCTTCGAAACGTCTTTTGCCACGAGCGAATTCGGCACCATGCTGGAATTCGAAAAGTGATCTTTTCGGTCTGTGCCGACTTCGCATCTCGACGCGCTTTTATAGCGGGAGCACGGCGGGCGGGGCTTGCTCCGTGCACAGTTTTTCCTGTTTTGTAAGAAGTGATTATGCCAGGGATATCAATCATGGATTACCGAATTTGTCTCAGAAGTTGGCAAGCTATATTCTTATATATAAACTGAATGTGTGTTTGTATGTGTTTGTGTCCTGTCTGTACGTATGTTCTTAAAATTTTTTAATTTTTAAGCCGATCCGGACCAAACTTGGCACACATACACTTCGGGCCTGGGTCGGTGTCATAGGTTACTTTTCGTCATTGATCGATATCGAATCCATCGATTTTATCGACTATTTTGCAAAGTTTGACTTACGCGGCTGGGAGTTGTCACGGGAGGATAAGTGAGCATGCTGATTACGAATACAATATTAGTTTTCAGAATTATCTGCATCTTTTATCGATTTTTCTGCAAGTCG